TCAGGGAATTTAGGCCCATCCGAACTACGTGGCTCGCTACGAGGCGGTATAGTTCTGACAGAAGACCCTAGGAAATTCTCAAGATGTCAAGAATTGCAACCTAGGCTCTGATACCAACTGACACACCCCGTCCCAAAGGAGGGCATGCTGGCCGTCACGTGAGAGTGATGTAACCATTTACACAGTTCGAAAGCTTTAAAGAATACAATTACTAAGACACCAAAGCTCTGCTAACTTGAACCTGGAGGGGCGCAAAAAAAAATTGAGTGGGTCAGCAAAACAAAGCTTTTCGAAAACCTTTCATTTAAAACATTTCTAACCCCTCGCCGTAAAACCTGTATACTTTCCCAGAAATTTATTATAAAAACATAAATATATAAATCATCAAAACTCAGCTCACCATCTATCAACATAACATTTCAGAAAGAATATGCCATGCCATGCCAAAATATAATATGAATGCATCGATATAAATCAGGTGAAATAATAAATCAACCGGAGACCCTACAGTGGTCCTGTACGGCTGATTCTATAGCTCAATATCCCATCCAGCCGGAGTCACCAACTGTGACCTGTACTGCCCTGCCGGAGTCACCAACTGTGACATGTACGGCACTACACTACACATAAGTCGGAACTACGTATAGTAGTCTGTACGACTAAGATGGTGAAATAATACGGTCTAGTGCTTCTCTCATCAATCATCTGTGCACATAATCTAAGGTCACCTACCAGTCGGAACCCCTCTAATGGTCTGTACGACTAGCATGTCGAAACCCTCTCATGGTCTGTACGACATGCACCTACTTGGATCCAAGGTGAGCGTGCGGTGCGGTGAATAATATAAGCACTAACACCAGGGGTGCAGGTTATGAGCTCTCAACACAATTCACATCAATAAATCATACGAATAATGTAAAAACTCTGTGCGTCCACAACGTCAATTCACATATATATGCATCAATTATCAATTCAAATATCTCATCAATTGCATGCATGGCATTTTAAAACATATTTTCATATAAATGCATTTTCTGGGAAAAACAGTAGTATATAGGTAATACGAAAACAAAACTGCCCACTCACCTGGAATTCACCCTACAACTCCCTAGCACAACACATCAAGGCGTCATGACGATCGGCGCCTAGAACAATAATCAAATCCAACCTCAGAATTCATATCAATAGAATATAACTTATATAAAACACGTCCCTACGCAGTTCAATCTGGAAGATCTGCAACTCAGATTTCCAATCCATAACTTCTAGAGGTCCACAATATATCCCTAGAACAACATCCTAAAATTTCCTTACCATCCAACGGTCGGATCTCCGACAATTATCAAAACCAAGTGACGGTTAACATTCTATATTATGGACTTACAACTCCAATTCCGGAAGATCCGTAAATCGGATTCCCAATCCGTAAGTTCCTATAATCCTCAATTATTATGTATTACGACGCATCAAAGTTTGGTGACGATCCAACGGTCGGATCGTCAATTCACATTTTCACCTATATGCGAAATAACTATAAAACGTTATTTAAAGCACCTAACCAACAATTCTTAATAACTTCTCATACGGTTCTCAAATTGGGTATATGAATATACCACAGTGACCTACTCGACGTCACGAACGTCGAGGAATTTTTAAAATAATTTTTTAGCGTCGCACGCGCCCCCACGCGCCGTGGGTGGCACGGACCTACGCGCGCCCACGCGCATCACCTTCAACCTCGCGACGCCGGAACAGTGCCACCGGCGCCGAAAACTGGGTAAACCTGCAACTCAGGTTTTCTCGGCCATTTCTTCACCATTTTGACCCAAATTTCTTCCTACATGCTCTAAATCAAGAGAGGAAGAAGTCCATACCTTAAAAAAACCTTTAAAACGTCTGAATCTCGACGGAGCAATTTCCTAAAAACCAGTCACCTTGGGACTTCGTGATCCCGACGTCCAAATCGACGCAACGAAGCACTCCGAGCTTCATGCGAACCTTCTAGAGCTCGCTGTGAGCTTGGATCGTCCTAAAAACCAACCAATAAAAAGTTCGTGAACAGTGCTTAATTTGGTGCTCGTGATTTCAACGTGATATCAAACGAGTTTTTACCTGAAATGGGTATGGATGTGCTCGTAGGGTCCTCACGAACACAATGGTGACTTTATAATCCTCGATCTGCGAAGTTTGCAAGGGTTTTGTTCTTTGTCCGTACGGTTCAAAGGAGAGAGAGAAACCGAGAGGGAGGAGAGAGAGAGTTCTATGAGAGAGAGAGGGTACGGGAGTGAGAGAGAAATGATAGGGTTGTGTGGTCCAAAATTGTACACCCAATCAAAACCAATTATCTCCTCACTTGCAAATGGTTCCAAATTAATAGGAACTTACCTATTTGGTCCCCTTCCATAATTTTAACCACACACACTTACCACGAAAAATTCAACGTCCAAGGGCAACATCGTCTTTTCACGCCATCTGTAATTTATTTCTGGGACGGGCTGTCACAATAAGATACATGAGTGACTTAGTACCACATAGAGTTCCTATGAGGTTCAAAATTTTGACTATCTTCATTATCTCTATGTGTAGAGTAAGTGTATTGTGAAGAGTAGTCATCAAATGATAAATCCCCATAATAGTTTTGCATGTAATTGTTAACATGCCACCCATATGGATCCGAGATTGGTTGATGTTGTCCATAAGCAAAATCATTTGAAGACATTTCTAGTAGCTTCAAAAAGCAGGGTGAATATATTGAAGACCAAACCTCACGATCACTGACACGTGGGCTGGATATTTTGAAAGCAGGTTTGGATTTTTTTTTTCTTCTCTCGGATAACACAAACATGGGCTGGATATAAGAAATTTCTTATATATTTTATGAATTAATTAAATTTACTATATCAAATGTAAATAATTCTTGACTAATATGTTATTTCTTATAAAAGAATATACATATGGGAATGTTTTATGTATATATATAATATGCTTGCCTATGAAAAAAAACCTAATATTATCTAAATAATTTATAATTTATATAACATATATATATATATATATAATATATATACCAAACTTTTAAAAATATAAAAAACCCACATAGTGGGGTTTTCATTATTAAAAAGTTAAAACCATCAACCATCCCCTCACCTCTTTAACATCACCCGTCCACTTTTAAAACCATCTCATGGTTTTCAATTTTATAATCAAAACCACCTTGGGTTACCTCACTAAAACCATCCCATGGTTTTCAATTTCATAATTAAAACTACCTTGGGTGGTTTTCATCACATCACCCGTTTTAATCACATCCCATGGTTCTCTTCGCACTCTCAGACTCTCTTCCCTCATCTTCACAGTTAGACGAGCTGCAGATCGTCTTTGCGAAAATTCCCTCATCTTCACAGATCATCTTCATAGATCTACAACTTCCAATCTCGTACGAATTTCTGCAGCTCGTCTCTACGAATTTCTGCAGCCCATTGCAAAAATTGCAGCAAGTTTAGGATTTGCAGCAAGTTTTAGAACACTGGACTTTTCATTTCCGACGACAGAGGGGCAGATCTTGGGTCTGAGCCTGGATTGCAAAGAGAGATATGGGCAGCTGGGACGACGCAGCCTCGGCTGCCTTTCGACGACGGAGCCACGACGACTTTTTCGATAATAACGAATATATCGCGATATTATCGATATTATCGCGATATTTTGACGATAATGAGACGGATACGTGGGAAAATATCGGCATCTTTGAAAAACGATAATATCGGCGATATATCGTCGATATTATCGATATTTTAGTCATTGGATGCAGCATCACTTAGCAAACAAAGTAGATGCAGAATTGGTTGTTAACGCACAATGTAGATGCATACTAGTTCTTAACACAAGCTTGATGCAGATTCCTTTTTTCTTTTTCTACAATTTATTTATGTGCAGAACCAATTTACAAACAGAAAGTAGAACCATAATTAATATACAAAGTGCAGCATCAGTACAAAGTACAACATCAAACCAGACGATTAATGTTTTTACTCACAAAATTTACAAGCATATTCTTTCTTTTTTTTTTTTCAAATATTGTTAAAGAATCAGTATAAATATAAACTAGAAAAGCGAAACTAAATCATCTAAAACATTGAAATTGTTTTGTCTCGAACTGGAACACTGAATTTTTTTTTTAAAATCAAGTGCAAAAAACACTTGATAATGCATGCGTTTTTTACAGTTTTCCGAAAGTGTCTTTTGCAAAAACAAGTGCAAAAACGCTTGATAATGCATCCAAAACTTTGATAATGCATTCGTTTTTTACAGAGTTCAAAATATAATCATGCAAAAAGAATGATTTTGAGTAGTAGAAAAACCTTTAAAACACTGATCTTCTAGAAGTCTGGCTAAACGTGTGTATCGCTTACTGAAAATCCAGCTTAAAAGTGTCGGAATCTATGAAGATTTTAGGGTTTTTTTCTCCGAAAGTATCTTTTGCGTGATAGTGTTTGAAATGATAGGTTTGGGGAAGATGAAACCATCACTTTGCGATATTGAATAAGGAAAACCGGTTCGTTTTTATGGTTTTTTTGTCATGTAGTGTTTAATATGTCTGTTTCTTAACGGTTCGTTTTTATGGTTTTTTGGGTTGGGCTTGGGTTTCTGTTATTGGATTTTTTGTCCTTCCTTGAAATGTTTTAAAATTTGTGGAATTACGCGAAATATGGTATATATTTGGGACAAGGATCCTCTCCGAATACTCTTTGTGGGGATCCAGGAGATCAATCAATCGTGTCCGCTCATCGTACATCGTGGGATCAGTTTTCGTTAGGTACTATTTATATTCAATTTAAAATAATTTCTAACCGCACGATGTACGATGAACGGATACGATTGATTAATCCCTCGAATCCCTCGAATCCCCACAAATAAGATCCGTAGTGGATCCTATTCCATATATTTGGGTCTCTTAAAAGGCTCCCCAAAAAAACATAGTAATTAATAATTAATTTCTTTGTCAGCATTTGAGATATCAAAGAAGCAACATTGCATTGTTAATATCGAACCGATTAATTCCTTCTTCTCCCGACAGTCTTAACATTGGAAACTCTCTTTGTTGGTGTGGCGTGCGAAATCCAGACCTCAAAGCATTAAGCATGGCTGCTGTTTCCAATTCGCTGGCTCTTACAGGTAAATTCCTCCCCATCATCTAATTAAACTAAAACTCGATTCATTGCTTTGTTGGATTCTTTTCTCTTTTTTTTTTTTGTACAAAATATTTCTCGATTTATGAGACCCATGATCTTATACCTTATGATGCTAGGCTTAGATTTTTCGATGCGATATTCTGTAATCTGGGAGTAAACTGATGTAGCTTACTGGTATGCAAATGGTTCTAGTTTATTCAAAATATCCCCAGCTGATCTAAGGGTTTTACATATATATTGGTTTCCATTGTCTAAGTCATGAGTGTTAGAACTCGTTTAACATTATTGTGACATTTTCCGTGTCAGAAAGTAATTGATTTGTGCACTATGTCTGTTTTTGAGCTCGATTTGGAATAATGGTTCGTTTTCTGTTCCTCTGAAATTCTTCACCAGGATCTTCTCTGATACCACCACAACAGTATCTTGGGAGTGTGGCACCGACAAACTTTTCACTCACTTCAAAACGTATTGGGAAAATTCAACCTCCCAACTCCAAGAGGTCTATCTCAGTTCAGGCTGCATATAGGTATTCCATTTGGTCTTGCGTTGTGATCACGACTGTTTTTCAGGGCACATGCTGCTAGTTTAATGCAAAATCCATGGTTGCTGCTGATTTTCCTTAAGCGTGACTTTCTCAGTGGAGTTCTATAGTGTTGGATTTGTGTCTTCCCCGACAATATGTATATGATGATTATAATTGATCAGATTTCTGGACATGTTAATTATCATAACTCAAACTATTAAATCAGCAAAAGATATAAATGAGATCAAAATTTGGTTTCCTGTAAGATATATTTGCCTAATTACTCGTTGCGGGACTTAAACCAACACCTCACGGCACGAGCTACACATTCCTGTTTCACAAATTGGTTAAAGGATTGTTGGAAAATATTTTTCCATGTGTCTTGTCTTCTCCTATTATGAAAGAATGAGAAATGAGAGAGAATTACAATCTCTCCATTTTGAAAAAAAGGAGATAATGGTGACAGACCTTTGAAGTGATGAGAGTATTATTATATGTCACATTGTGTCTCCTCTCCTACACAATGCCCTGTTTAATTTCTCTTTCTCACAATCCAGTGTTGTGTTCAGTAATGAATAGTAATAATTTCATTTTCCCAGCTGTCAGTTGGTGGTGTTTTCACAATCTTACAATATCATTGATATCAGATATGGTCTTTCGAAATTCAATTTTGTATTTTTGGCCATTATATGTCATTTTCAGTTTCACCACATGTTCTTTCAGTAATATTGTAATGTCAATCTCTACTTGTGCAATTACAGTGATGGTGGTAGGTCAAACAGTTCGGGTATCTTTGTTAGTGGCTTTGTTTTGGGAGGACTTATAGTTGGCACATTGGGCGCTGTCTATGCACCTCAGGTTGCTGTTCTTATTTGATTATAATTACCTTTTTTCCTCCCCGCAAATTCTCATATGATCGTTATTTTGTTCCGTGCTACTTTCTGTCCATCTTGTTCATCAGTCAATTATTTTAATTTTCTTAATGTTTATATTTTGTTAGTAATGAGTTATCCACTTTAACAAAGTGTTAAGTGTATACTCTGTACCGCACAACTGTTGTGGATTGTGCTCTGTGATATATAAATCTTGCAGTTTGTAGGCTACAGAGTTTTCTTTACTTGGTGTACCCTTGCATTAAGCTAATGAAACCATTTTTCCCACTGAGCATTTTCCTTTTTAATCAACAGATCAGTAAAGCACTGGCTGGAGCTGACCGAAAGGATCTGATGAGAAAATTGCCCAAGTTCATATATGATGAAGACAAAGCTTTGGAGGTGAGAAGTTTCCCTTGAACGGTTATCCCGATCTTTACATAATCAATTACGAGGATTATTTGAAATGGCCTTTGCTGCTTTCTGTTTGTTAATTTTCTTTGTTTTTCCCTATATTTACGCATTCTTTGGAGATGCTGAAATGCTATTTTGTTGTTGTGGTTTTGGTCATTTGTTTCAAATTTTATCAATTATCTTCAATAACCATTACTTGCCAAAATGTTCGGTTATATGTTGACTATAGGAAGAGAGACCATTGTGATTCTAATTCCGTAATCTTCTGTCTCTTTTCTTTCCTTATTTGCAAATTCACATTATTCATCTGTTTTTGCACCAAAATGTTTGGTTATATGTTGATTATAGGGAGAGAGACCATTGTGATTCCTAATCCCGTAATCTTCAGTCTCTTTTCTTTCTTTATTTGCAAATTCACATTATTCATCTGTTTTTGCACCGCAGAAAACACGAAAAATACTGGCTGAGAAGATAGCGCAGCTGAACTCTGCGATTGATGATGTTTCTGGTCAACTCCGCTCAGAGGACGACCCAGATGAAGTATCTGTGAACTCAGAATTTGAGGCTGTCGTATGAGTCACTCTAAATTTCTTGAATTTTAGTGTTTCGATATCAATAATCAATGTAGTATTTCTTTTCTGTGGAATCTCAAAGTTCTGGTTAAGTAATTGCAGTTTGTACCCCATGTGATTCCAAAATTGCTAATATTTGGACGACGCCAAATATAGGATTTTTCTCCTTTTCTGCTGTATTTTTTGTCTCTAGTAATTTGCACCGTAAAGACCATATACTTTACACAAAAACAAAAAGAACAAAATAATACCATATCCATGCTCTGTGGTTGAGATCTTCACTCCTTAGAGTTGTGGCTATTACATGCCTTTTTTGATATAAGCGAGATTGTTTAAACTACGGAGAGGAGGATTTAAACTCAGGTGCAAAGGAGAGCATACTATTCTAACTTCAATCAACTTGGTTATTACATGCCTTTTTCTTTCTTTTCTTTTCCTGGAAATAATTTTTCTTGTATTTTTGTTTATTTTTGGGTCGGATTTCTGTATTTGTCTCGTGACGAAAGGGCATTCTAGGAAGGGAGGGGTGGAAATAATCCGCCCATAGACATTAGACATGATCTTATCTCCTATATCTTCATGTACCATGCTATAACCACAAGTTCCTTTAATCCAATTGCAACCATAATTTAAAATAATGTAACGTCCACAATGCCAATGGCAAGCATATCAACTGTATATAAATATATACATATATATGTTTATGTATACGTATATATGTTTATGTATATGTATATATGTTTATGTATATGTATTTGTATATGTTGGCAAGTCAGTCCCTTAGCTCTAGTTGCTTGCAGCCATGGCTTCACACGCAGCTCTCGCCTCTTCGAGAGTCCCGGCTTATACCAGGCTTCCCTCCAAGCCCTCCCACTCATTTCCCACCCAATGCTTCTCCAAGGTCTCTCTCTTTCTCTTGAACAGAGTTCATCGAGCGTGTTATTTATTGGCTTTGCTAGTTTGGTATAATTTGCTTACTCTTTTTTAGCTGTGCAGAGGCTTGAAGTTGGTGAGTTTTCGGGACTACGATCGAGTTCATGTGTGACCTATGCAAGCAATGGCAGAGAACAATCCTTCTTTGATGCTGTGGCTGCCCAGCTTACTCCCAAGGTTATATCTTCCCATTTTCATTCATTTCATTAGGCAATTGTTTGGGCCCAAAATATTGATTTGGGCCGAATTTGGAGTTGCATTCGGCCTAGTGATTTTTCTAGAATTATCGTGGGTTTTTTGGGTCATGGGCCGCCTAGTCGGGGTTGGTCAAGTCCCATGGCAAGACGGATTGTGTGGATAGGGGAGTAATCGAGACCTAGTGTGATGAGGAGTTGAAAACAAGCCAGGACTCTAAATGAATCTAGTCCATCAGGAAAGCAGGTTCAAAGTCCTATTTGCACTAGGATTGGCCAAGGCCTGGTCAGGTTAGGTTAAGGAATCCTAATTTGACTATGCTTCTGGCTCGTCTGTAGTTTGTTGCTATAAATAGAGAAGGGTGTGCATCATTCAACCGTTTCCAACTCAACACACAAACTGCCCTGCGCAAATTCTCACTCTACTCGAAACCTCTTAACAACCTTGAGATTTTCGTTTTCTTTTTCGCCAACACATCTTCAGTTTGGATAAACAGCACTGTTAAGGTAATTGGTGAACACCTTTAGTTTGGATAAGCAGCACTGTTGCCGTAGAATCAGCCGACCATGGAGCACCTTCAATTTGGATAAACAGCACTGAATCGAAGCCGACTGATTATCTATCCAAGTCTCAGTCAAGAAGGATTTTTGAATCCCTATTGGCAGAGGTCATCTCACCAGCCTTCTCGGCGAAGCGAGGTGTTACAGATTACTGGGCTCGGCGCATTGAACGCCGAGTTGTTTTATGATTGGATATTCACAAGTAAGTTTTTAGTTCGACATTCTGACGGCCGAACCACATTTATGATTGGATATTCACAAGTAAGTTTTAGAGTTCGGCATTCTGACGGCCGAACCACATTCACCATCAAGACATATATCTCTTTTGAGTACTTGTGTCCGTATACTTTGGAGCCAGTTCAGCATGCTTATACTCTTATGAATATAATCACCGTGATCGAACCCGACGCTGACGATCCGTAAACTTCGCCAGACTAGCAGCCTTATCTTCAGGCTCTAGAACCAGAAGGCCGAGACGTGTTCCTTCCTCGGCCGCAATCGTGAGATCAAGAAGTCAGCTGAGCGCTCAACGCAACATCAACAAATTTTACTCCCCGGCCGAGCTCGGTCGTTGAGTTGGCACACCCCGCACATAACCAAATGACATAGTTAGCTTATTAATTTCTCGACCTGCGCGCCACGTAGGCTTGGTAGTTTTTAGGGTCAACATTTTGGCACGCCTAGTAGAACCAAGTGCTAAAACTACAAAGTTCGTACCCGTCGAAACATGATCAGTTAAAAAGAAAACAGTCATGGTAAAGTCCACAACCAACCTTCCAGTTCAGAATCCAGGACAAGAGGACTTGTGACAGGCTCAAAATCCTCCTATCGCCACAATGCCTGAGGCCACAAGCGCGACACTCTAGGAAAAGGAAATTGCCCTCAACGGCCAACCTCACAATGTAGAAACCCCTAACAAAAACATAGGCGTTTTAATAGAAGATTGCGATGAGGATGGTGGTGAAGGTTCTGATCCACCGACTAGATCTTTTCTTCGAAGAAGACTTGAAGAGTAATCTTAGGTTTTCAATCGAGAAGTAAGAAGCATACTTGAAGAAATACGCAGTAATGGTGAGGCACACAACAAAATCCTCGAACTGTTGGTTAGTAAAGTTTACAACGGCAGACCCACCGATCGTTCCCGACAACTTCCACCTAAGGGTAATCCGGTATCAACGCTACAGGTCGAAAAGTCATATGCTCGGCACAAAATGATTGATTTGGAAAAAAGAGGAAGATCAAGCAATAGATCAAACATATCTGACCAGAGAGAAGAAACAACATTCGTCGATATGATTGAGGTCCAAAGGATGATCGATTCGACCTTGAAAAAGGGCTGAAGTTCCCAAAATTCATCCATCCATATCCAGCTTATGTGGAAAAGTTTGAATATCCTAAAGGCTTTAAAATCCCAGACTTCAGCCTTTTTGCTGGCGAGTCGTCCCTATCTTGGTTAGAACATGTGGCTTGGTTCACTGCGCAATGCGGAGATGTTAATAGCGACTTCCATAAACTACGACTATTCAACTTCTCACTAGCAGGTTCAGCATTTGCTTGGTATATCAACCTCCCGCCTGATTCCATCTAAAGTTGGGAGGAACTGGTCGAAAAGTTCCATGAACAATTCTATCGGTCGGGGATGGAAATGTCAATCTCATCACTGGCTAGGATGGCTCAAGCGTCTGACGAATCGCCAATGGAATACTTAACGAGGTTCAAATCGGCCAAAAATTGGTGCCATGTACCTCTCCCTGAAGTTGAATTCATCAGAATCACTCTGAACGGCTTGGATGTGGAATATAAATAGAAATTCTTGGAGGCAAACTTCCGAGATATGTACGAACTAGCCCAGCACGTCGAGCAATATGATTATTTGCTTCGAGAGGAAAAGATCTCAAAGTCCCCATCCCGGGGAACGATTTACAAAAATCCCACGATTAGCTACGCATCGGCCAAATGCAAGGATTCCCAATACGTCAATGTGGACACGACCAAGATAGTAATAGATAAACCATATGTTTGCAAGGCATTGGCTCAAATTAATTCCAAGGATGCCAAAATCCGCTTGGCCTCTGAAGAAAGTTAAAACATCAAAAGTTTTCACTTTTGATATCACCAAGGCCGTTCGACCAGTTATTGCTGGCAAAGATCATCAAACTTCGACCAGGACACAACATTCCTAAGGCCGAAGAATTGAAAGGAAAAACGTATTGCAACTACCATAACTCGAATAAGCATACCACAAACAACTGCGTCGTGTTCCGTGATTCTATTCAAAGCTGGATTGATAAAGGCAAGCTAAAATTTCCTGAAAAACAGATAACTGTCGACATTGATCCCTTCCCCTCGGCAATAATTGGCATGCTAGATGCTCATTTGCTACCCAAAAGCAAAGGGAAATGGAAGGCAGAGTTCGTTCCAACACAACATGTCCCAAAGCAGAACTCTCGGCCACGACTCAAGATTGTTCTATTTTCCAACGAACCACCAACAGAGTTTTCAAGACCGACCATAGTCAAATCTATGTCAGACTTCAATGCAAAAAAAACTAATGGACCGATGGTTTTGTGCAGCAGTTGTAAAGCACACGTCATCCTAACCGAACCAAAGGAGACATCACCTCAAGCTCCAACACCATGGCAACCATCCAAGGCCACGGCAACACCTTCAAAGGAACTCGGCAGAGGCCAGTGCTAAAAAGTGTTTGATAGGCTCGGCCCTCAAACACGAATGGACGGCCCCACCTCAGCTAGACGGCGTCTTGATTTCAATGCGCCCTTTTATAATGAAGATTATTACTTGCGTAACTCCAGCAACTCAAGTTCATCGGCGAATCAAAAAACCTTCAAGCCACCTGAGCCACGCAACCAACGTTGGTATAGTTACAATTCTCCCACTAGCATGTATACTGCATTATCCAAATCTCAAAAACATCAACGCCAACGGATAGACTACATGGCTCAAAGATAGTCACCACAAGCTACTTCAGCTACCAAATGACAGCCGAAAGAAGCAACAGAAAGTGAAGATGACCGACAAACCCTGACAATCATGGTCGAATTACTTCAAGGGAAAAGGGTCATTGATCGCGACTTTGAAACCACCATTGAAGAGTCCGAGAAGCGTATCAAACTCCTCCTTCAGCCTGAGGAGATGAAAGCTCGTTTCGAGCATTTCAGAAAAGAAGCCAAAAGCAAACTTCCCCCATTACCTTCACAAGAGCCGTTAATAAAAGTTTGACGGAATCTACACCCTCCATTCCTCGGTGAATCCTTGGAGTACATGCGAGAATTTCACAAGGAACATTATACTAATGACTTGTATGGCCTATCCAAGGCGTGTCAAGAAGTTCTCAACCTGACACTAACTTGCCCTGATGCTGAACAGATTATCCAAATAACCACTGATCCAGCAATGAAGGCCAGGTTCCAGCATATACGTGAAGCTCAAGTCCTCAGCTTCGATGTCGATCCATACACAGACATAGACAC